GGCTGAATACCTCAAGCGTGTGACAGAAATGTTACGCCCCTTACCTTACATTTATACTGTCTTTTTATGCATTGCATCACATCGTAAACATAAAACCATGTCTGCATTTTTGATCGGAGAAATGACAAAACAGGTGCTACTCTACACTGCTCAAAACTTGCGTTTGAATCGTCAGTGGCAAATTCTTTAAATATAAAAAACATACTTGCAGTCTGTGAGTCAGAACAGCCGGCATTGTAGTCTACTCTACCAGGATCAGGAAACAGTCCTCCATAAAATGCGCTGGACACATCTGAATATTTGGGTTAAACTGTTCTGGAACAGTCTTGTAAATACAACTTAACCACTGATTTCTAGTCGTGTCCTCTTTTGGAAGGCCAAACAAAGTAGTTTCGCTTTCACAACGAAACAGCATCACACACCGCAGCCTTGAGCGAGTGGAGGCCGGAGGCCTAGAGTGAGCGGAGGCCAGCTTAAGTGAGCAGAGGCGGGCGGGCTTGAGAACGGCGTGTCCGGCGGATTCGACGAAGGAGCGTCCGGCGGGCTTGCGGCAACCACGTGACGACCCTGGGCTGGACTCCACTTCGCCCACAAAGTAGTTTCGCTTTCACAACGAAACACAGCACCTTCACGACATGGCGGCGGCAACAACAATACTACAGCGAGAATAAAAGTTACACCTTCTTTCTTTGCGTGAACATTTGGATGGTGTTATGCAAATCTTCCCACATCGTGACGTAGACATGTGGGGGCGTGTTAGAACGAGCCGTTTTAGGTAGGCGTGGCTGACTCTTAACTTTTATAAAGATATCTCTTTGGATTTGAGACTTTAGTCTTTGCAACTTCACAGATCTTCTTTATGCACCAAGAGCTTGTAACACTCTAGAGAAAAAGGAAAAATTGAAATCGCATCATATGACCCCTTTAATTTGTTTGAGAACTGAGAAAGACCGTTCCATTAATAGGCGCAGCGACATGGCCACATAATAACCACTTCGGGAGTGGAGTCACAACCACACATCAAGACATTGTTCAGATGATTTGTTTCAATCATGACATGTTTCCGTCCTGAAATCTCCTGTGTTGAACTAATTTTTTACGCACTTCAAACCTTCTGTTGCAAATTCCAAAACGTTTTTTTTGACATGCAGCCATTTATATGCAGGCTAATGCAGTTATTAGATAGATAGATAGATAGATAGATAGATAGATAGATCTCAGCAGCAGCATCTACGTGACTGTACTGTGTGTGCGTCTGTGAGAGAGACTGGGAGAAAGAAAGCGTGATTTCCGTAGCCTACATAAAAAAAAGGTGTTAGACATGGAAATAGTTCATCATTTTTTACCCTATTGTTTGTTATATTTATTTGCTCAATGTCTTCTGGGGTTTTGGTTCTTTTACTGTTGTAGATAGCCCATAGTATAACAAAAATATTATATATGTTTGGGCCCCCCTGCACGTGCCTAGAATGCCTATGCGTAAATCCAGCCCTACTCAGAGCATTATATTTTAGTATCTTTGAGGGGAATTTTTTTATTTTTTTTTTTACATGCGCATTTGTGCAACCTCTTCTCCAGTATCTCTCAACGCATGGGTTTCTCTCTTACAGGTAAGCAGAGTGGGAAATGCAAAACCCGGAGTGACGCTCAAGCGGAGTGTTCATAGAACGCTGTTTGTCTGCCTCTCCGCTTCCAATTATATATGGTATTCCAGGCCAGTTTTTAGTCTGTACATTTAATCTTGAACGTTTTTGATACCGACATTGCACAAGTTAATTGTTTTATCCGTGCTAAACGGCTAAATTAGCTGGTTAGAGAGTAACACTGATAGCTGGCCAAACACAGATTTAACAACAGGCTAATGTTAAAAAAAAATATGTGTTAGAATTCACTGACGCCCACTTACCGGTACCTGGGAGGTTTTAGGATTCCTCTCAGCTCAGTTGTGTCCGCTGTGGTGGTCTGGACTGTGTCTTCTTCTTCATACGACTGTAACAGAGTTACCGAGTAATTCCTGCCAGAGTTGTTCGCCCAAAACTCTCCATCTGGCGTCTCGTAGCGCACAACAAAATCAATCCGCGCTCCGTTGAACAGGTACGGTGAAGCGAAGGCCAGCTTCACGGAGAACTTGTCCGTTTCGCCGTCGTTGGAGCCCTGAACGTACTCGGCTGCGTAATCAAAGTGATTGATCCAACCATCCATCGTGGACCGGACATAGACTGATTTGTGAAAAGAAATGTTGAGCACACGAATAAGCACCTCGAATGACAGAGGCTCATCTGGCACAGATGTCACGCTCTCCACTTCCAGCTTGTTGCTGTGGGCAGCGAGCACGAACTCTGCTCCGGTGAGCGGCTGGAACTCCGGCCACACACGGTAAGTGGGCTCACGGTAGGCTTTTCGGTACCGCGCCTCCTCTTCCTCCCATCTTGAATCGTCCTCTTCGTCTGAATCAAACGGGACAAACATTCTGACATCAACCAGCTCGGCTCCCGTACTGTCTGCAAACGACACTCTTCTGTTCGTTAACACCAGGCGGATTCGCATGTACTCGGCGGTTTCATCCGCAATCGAAGAGCCTCGCTTTCTGGGAACAGGAGAAGACCTCGGTATTAGCCTGACGTCTTCCTCAGTTTCTTCCTCATCTTCATCATTACTGTTGTCGTCGGAACGCTCGACCCTCACAGTCTTGAAAAGACCCTCTTGTGAGGGGATAGTTAGGAAATTACTGTTATTCCCCTGCGCCATTACGTCTGTTTCTGAGCCGCGTAAACATGAAGGGTGCCGTTACTGCGATGGTGCGCGTCCGTCAGACCGAGCTGCCGTTCATAGTGCCAACGGAGACCCGCGAGGGTCTGTCACCTCGTTTCGACCGAACTAGGCCTAAATTATTGACATAAACGAGAACTGCAGTTTGGAGCTCATAGTGCACAGACACGAATAAGTGTCTAAATTTAGAAGGAAGCGGCACGTCCATCGTTTTTCAGAGGTCAGGAGGAAGATGGGCTCTGTTGATATACCCCTCCCCCTTATCGCTTGTTGGCCGCTCCAAACCGCACACGCCCCCCGCTACTATTTTAAAGTTTAAAGACACTTTCGTTTGTGTGCTTGCCGTTTGTTGTGCGAAAAATCTTATAATACTAATCGTAAAATAAGTAAAAAAAAAAAAGACAATATTGCTAAAAAGCATATGGTGCTACTCTTAGAACACCAATAATAATATTTTTTATAT